GGCTTATCAGCCAATGATATCACATTGTTGACTGTCCAAAAAAAAAACTCAATAAGCATCACAAGACTATGATAGAACTTAATTGATGTTCTTAAAGATTTCAGGTTTTTCAAAAAAAAATTCTTGTATCAGGATCAGATAAATATACAGGACCAGTTTTGTAGAATACCTTTGTGTTACTCAAGAAACAATTGATTTTCAGATATGTTACTTGAAGAGTGAGAGACCAGGTGCTGAAGCTGTTACTCCAAGAACTTCGCATAGACTCGGAGCATATTTGCGAAGAAAGGCGTCATCTAAAAGATTCTTAACTTGGTCGTTATCAAAAGTGTATGCCACACTCAATGCAGCAAGGAAGTGAAGAAAACCTAACACCTCCACAGGATTCTCTGCCTTAATCAGAGTTGTAAGATTTAGCCAACTTCTGTTCTGATTCGAAAGATCAATCTTTGATTCCAAAGCCAAAAGAAGAAGAAAACCCCAAATCAGAAACACAAATCGTATCCCAAATCCTCTTCGAACCCTAACGAAAACCCTAGATAGCGATTTACCGAAGAACGATCAAGATGAAGGAATCGCCAATTGAATCGCCTTTGGAGATTTTTTTTTCTTTCTCTCGCGTAACTTCTTTTTCCAAACCAGAGTTGGGCAAAACGACACCGGCTTCTACAAGCCACGTCATCTAGGACTCAACTCTAAAAACCCTTAATTAAGGGGCACCTCTTGTGAAAAAGCAGAACTATAATATTAATCTAATCCGATTTTGTTAAGGGGCTGGGCTTAAGAGGTCCCGATGGAGATGGTCTTAATAGTCTACTACTGCATACGCCAGATTATTTTTTGGTCGCCTGATTTAATTAGAAAATAAGATTTCCATATTATGAACTCAACCAAACAGGCAAACCCTAAACGAAAAAAAATATACAAATTGAACCAAAATTTCGAACAAACCGAGCAAAACCAGAATATGAAAAGCTTGAAGGCTTGATGAACAAATTTTCTTGCTCTCCTCTAGGCTCTAGATCTTCATTTCAGAACTGTAGAAAATCAAGTCCTAGGATTCCCATTATTTCAGCATTTACCTTGAGCTCTTTATTCACGATTCACGAGAGCATAAAGTAGCTTTTGCATTAATAAATGACCAATGATATAAGTGATACTATTAAACAATACAATAAAGCGATAGTACATTCAGACTTCAAAAAGGCCAAAAAAGAAGTGTTTCACACACTACTAGGGTTTTTGTTCTTCCACACCAGCGTAAACATGATCCAAGCTAAGTACATTGGCATCATTATATTTATATATAATCTTCAAGATCTAATTAATCAGTAATCAATCATCTACTCATTCTCTTGTAGAGGATAATCAAAGAAGGAGTTGATATCATGACCCAAGCAGTTGACATTCAGCGTTTCAGTTCCACGCATTCCGATTTCTTTTGTGTTGTTATTGATCATCTCATCGAACAGCTCGGCTTGAAGATTCTCAAACCCAGCCATGAAGAACATCTCTTGATCACCATGATCATTGTTATTTATGCTGTAGTGAGACATTTGTAGAGATGAATTTGTACCAATGCTACCACTACTACTAGTCATGGAGTTCAAGTGTGGGGATGCGTGATGATGATGAGATGAAGAAGCTGCATCATGATCAATATCAAACCACGCCTTGTTTTGTTCCCAAGAAAATGATTCGAACATCGGATCTTTGACCATTATTTTTTCTTCCATAGCGAAGGATGTTATTGATGGAATATCCGCCATTTGGTTGTGTGAGGTTTGGTTCAACGGCGGTTTCGCATTCTCATCATGAAACATTAGGACCTGGTTTTGACCAGATGATGATCTTTTCGTTGTTGATTTGGGCTCAAGTCTGAGTTGTTGATGAATTGCCTTCTCTTTCTTGCTTAATAGCTTCTTCTTAAGCCTTGTGTTCCAATAGTTTTTGATATCGTTGTCTGTTCTTCCTGGTAATTGTGAAGCAATGATAGACCACCTTCATCAACAAAATCTAATTAATAAGTTTTAAATGCAACTTGTATATAAAATTGCACGAATCATATATATATAAGAAATATAAATCTAAACCTGCTTCCAATTGTAATGTATAGGCTGCAAATGATGTAATCTTCTTTATCAGTGAAACCTCCATGCTTTAAGTTAGGTCTCAGGTAATTAAGCCATCTCAAGCGACAACTCTTACCACATCTCTTAATCCCTTTTATCAACATGTAAAAATGTTAATATTATATGTGAGAAAGAGAAACTATATTGTATATGTAAGGTGAGCAAACTAAAGTGACTTTATATAAATACCGATTCTATGAGGGAGGGAAATCCAGTTGTTGCCGGTACCATGTTTTTCGATGTAGGACTTAAGCATGGCGTCCTCCTCAGGCGACCATGGCCCTTTCTTCACCACCGACTTATCGCAGCACGGTGCTCTTCCCATTAAAAACCAATATTTTCTATTCCTCCGAATTGGGTTTGTTGTTGTCTAGGTTTTACCTATCTTTCGTAGTGTCTATCAATATGTATATATATGAGGAAACTTAACATAGAATGATGACAAGTGGATTTCTGTTTGTACGTATATGTACATAGACTACACATATAGTATGCAGGTGAAGGAAAAGGTAGCAGAAGAATCGGTCTCCTAAATTTCAAATAAATGTAAAATTATTGAAAAAAGTTATGGGTACTTTAAGATTATTTCAAACAAGGCAAACTTTATGAAAGTAATAGTATGATATGTTAGACGTATTTCTAGCATGAAAGGAAAGAAAATATATAACATAAACAAATATATGAAGAAAGAAAAAGTGAACAACAAATGGCCTGCTAGTCCTGCATGTATGTTTTTTTTTTTTGCTTAACATTCCTGCATGTATGTTAGTCCATCATATATATCCTCCTCTAATCTCTTTGGTTGGATTTAGTTAAAAACAAAAAAATAATCGTTGACCCAAAAAAGCATCCATATATGCCAAATAGGAATTCACCTTCCAGAGAACTAGATGAATGAAATTAATATTTCTCTCTTTATTATATTGTTTAACTATATTTTGGATTGTGATTAATTTTTTATTTTTTTGTGTTCAAAGATTGTGATTAATTATGTTGGTTTAGTCACAAATGTTTCATTATGTGATTATGAATATATTTGAACCATCATAATCTTCTAGATGAAAAAGAAAATGACTGACTTGACCTGACATTCTTCGGATATTCCAGTTTACAAAAAAAAACAACTGGTTGCAAGAAAAAGTGAGAGAAGACCACAAACAAATTTTTAACCAAAAGACCGTTTTCAACACGGTATTGAAGAACCAGTCTTCTCAACGAGTACAAATACATTGACGGAGTCAAGTGATGTCAGTCTAAATGATATAATCTAGGTTATCCTTAACCTCGAAAAAGTTGTAAATTTAAGTTTAATTACTTTAAGCAAGCACTCTCATACATCTATAATAGATTCGTTCAATGGATATTAAGAAACAAATACTGATAACTCATTGCAGAGAAAATTTAATTGAATATCGCCTAGTTGATTATGATATAGTGCCAACATATTTAAATGAATAAGACAAATTAAGCAGGTACGACTTTTGTGCTATTGACTTAAGTATTTCAGCTTCTCTTACTAATCCACGAGACAATTCTTGGATAGATCTTCTTGACCAACATTTTACTTTTATTTATTTTTTGAACTAAGGTTTACATTTTACTCCTATTTACAGATTTAAATGATTGATAGTGTTTTTTCTTCTTTTTTGATTCTCAAAGTAAATAGAGACCTAATTGATTGAATCGATACGCATATATATCTCGCGTTAAAGAAAAGTTACTAATTAGAAGTTCGATAATTTTTTTCCTTAGAAAGTATTGTTAATCTAGTTTACAAATAGAAATTTGATGCATTCTTTGTAAAAAAAGGTTTGTATGTTGAATAAATTTAACATTCATTAAAAAAATCATTAGTTAGAGAAAATCTGAAACGTCTGCAATTCTTTCTTAGTGAGTTAGTGTTATAGGAGATTGTTCTGCTAAACTTAGAACAAACAAGTAAGATTTCACAATTACCTGAGTATTGTTTTATTATATTTAATAGATTGTGTTGTTTATTGTAGCTTTCGCTTGTCCTCATCTCATCACATTTCTCTATATCTTAATGATGTTAAATGTTTTGAATAAAGTACTTTAAAACTTTTATTATTCGAATATCAGGAGCTATTTTGGTCTCACATGGACTTGGGCCACGGCGTATCTGTAAAAGGACGTCGTTACTTGCGATTTTGAATATGGGAAGGCCCATTAGATTCTGGGGCACAGATATGGGTTTTTAAATTATAGTATAGTAAGAGGGCTAATTCCGACAGCTTGAAAGCTTGTGCACCATTATTGTTAGAACGTGAGTCTTTTTGATGGACCAAAATGTAACATTCCGACACTTTTTGCCACCTAATTTTCGAATTCTCTAATGGGTTCAAATTTCATCATAGTACAATTGGGCTATATTTATATACTTCGGCTTCGTTTCTTTTTCTTTTGAAACAATACTTCGGCTTCGAAGGCGGCCATTTCCCAAGTAAAATTATAGCAAAGACCTAAAATTGTTGACTTTTGTGACGGTTAATGTAGAAGATGTGTACCAATAACCAAACGACAGTCGATGTGAAAATCACCATCAGGAGTAAGGACCCAGATATCTTTCCAGTTTTTTGGTTGCGAAAAATAACAAAATTGCACTGCGTTTTTTACGAAAGGTCCCTGCTCAATTTGTCATTTTCATCTTTCTCCTACTGTTACGTGCGATTCATATTACTGCTTCATAGTATATATTAATTTACCTATTACACAAAACACAAACTTCATAACCATGTATCAAACAGAACAAAGTTTAAAATGACATGAAGTCTATGAGTATCCAATTAATTAACAGATCATATCAAAATTATTTCCAAGTGAAATAATAACTTTTTAACATATTTAATTTATCAAAGCGATGAAGGTGGTATTTATTTGTCGACCTAACTAAAACACTCAAAATAGATCTTATAAAATAAAGTTTTTCACCATGTAAACAATATAAGGGGGTCCGTTTAAAACGTCAGTTACATGAGGAAACGAAAAATAGTTCGTTTAATCATTATAGAAGAGGACCTAAACTAGAACTACATTACAAGACTTGAAGAAAGAAAATGTTGAAACCTAACAAAATGGAAAAGACCTCACAATTATGATAATAGACTATTTCGAAGGACGAAGACACGGAGAGACGCACCGACTTTATTAGGCCGAATCAAAAGCGAGAAGAAAGGTCATCGTTTCACTTTCCTCTCTTTTTGAGTTGCTTTTCACAACCACACACTCACATACGTGTAAAACCATATATATATTTGGTAGACAAAGCTTGCATCATTGCTTGTGTTCACAAGTCTTTATAGACACCAGAGTTCATCGTCACTAATCCACTACAGTGACTCACTCTTTTCCCTAAATGTATATGTTTATTACAACCCAATAATTTCAAACTCGCATACTATTAATTGATTTGACATAACTTTAGTAGTGTGGAATATTACGTTTTTATTTAATCAGTGACATATAAAACAGTCGAAAGAAGAAAAATTAAACATTTGTGCTTTATCATAATTCTGTGAGTTAGGTTATTATGTGGAAACGCCGAGAAGCTCTATGTGGCTATATATAATTCATATATGCATGCAAATTCTTGTGGTATTCTCTAATCCATCATTTTTTGCTAACGATTACGACCCCCAAAAATCGTAACATATATGTTACCCTGATTATTTCATAGTTAATGATATATATATATATATTCTTAGAGTAGACTTTTGTTGTCAAAGGCTCAATGATTCGTCTCTTTTACAAAGTCAAGATCTCGAAGTGATTGACAGAATATTTACTTATATTCCTAATAATCATGCAGTTTCTTTATCCTATGAATTATTGCGGTTATTCATTTAAATAATCAAATCATTCCCTTTCTTTTCCCTCAATATGGTTCAATTATTCGCGCGTTTTTACAATTGAGGGTAATATTCGCTACAAGCTTTTGATATTAGAACATACGAATAGTTGATAACTCTTCACAAAAAGAAAATTATTTATATTCTTAGATGCTCTCTATTAATCAAAAAGAAAAAGAAAAACAGGGTTTTGTATGTTTGTAAACCTTATTAATTAAGCGTGCAAACTATGATAAAATATCACGAATATAATATGAATATGATTAGGGCTGGGCATCATTACTCGTTACTCGCCTTAAACTCGGTATTTGACTCGTACCCGGCTTAAAAATTCAAGTACTCGGTGTTGTCAAGACAAGTAACAAGTCGACAATTTTCATTACTTGCAAGACTAAGTCAAGTATCAAGTATCATTATTATATTTTGTATTTGACTCGTTCCGCCCCGCTACTTGTTCCATTACTTGCTATTTGTTACATAATCTATTAATTAGTTTTTCATATTTGTCTTTTCTTTTACTTGTATTTAGGACTAGACATAAATACACACTACTATTCTTATATTTGTTACTTATTTTGTATCCAATCTTGATCTTTGAATACTCGTCATTATCTAGTCAAGTATTACACATCAACAAATATTAAAAATTTAGTAATATGATTTGTTATTACTTGTTACTTATCTAGAGAAGATATTCTTGTTATCGTGATCATTATACAATGTTTATATACCATAATATGCATTTTTTAATTTATCTTTTTTATAATATGAACAAATATTCTATTTAAAGTAATTTACATGTTACTTTAAGTAAAATAAACAAAACAAATTTTCATGTCTATTTCTAACAGAATGTTATTTAGTTAGTAGTTCTTAAATATTNTTCTTGTTATCGTGATCATTATACAATGTTTATATACCATAATATGCATTTTTTAATTTATCTTTTTTATAATATGAACAAATATTCTATTTAAAGTAATTTACATGTTACTTTAAGTAAAATAAACAAAACAAATTTTCATGTCTATTTCTAACAGAATGTTATTTAGTTAGTAGTTCTTAAATATTCCGAAAAAGCTTGTAAATAGTGCACAAGTACTTGTAAATAGTAAGTAATAGAGTAAGGCAAGTAACTTGCAAGTCGTTTATTTTTCATCAAGTACTCGAAATAGTAAGTACTCGTTTTAAACAAGTCAAGTACAAGTCGAAAATTTTATTATTCGTACAAGGCAAGTCAAGTCGCGAGTACATGCAAAATAGCAAGTACTCGCCTTGCGCCCACCCCTAAATATGATAGCCTTTAATAAGCACACGCTTAAGACATGAAATATAGTTAGAATAAGTTTCGTCCGACAGTAATCTATGATAACATCATGATATTCCTTTTGACATTCGGCAAAAGAAATCATCTTAAAACAGAAAAGCCATCCTGAGTGCCGATATTTTCGCATATAATTAGAAGTATATATTCTGATTAACGTAG